GGGGAAGGAGATGGGGCTGGGAGGGGAGTGGGCTAAGGCTGGGAGCAGGGGAAGGGGATGGAGATGGGAGTGGAAGGCAAGAAGGATCAGGCTGGGAGCAGGGGAAGGGGATGGAGGCAGGACTGGGGCTGGGAGCAGGGGAAGGGGATGGAGGCAGGACTGGAAGGGGATGGAGATGTGTGTGGAAGGGGAGAAGGATAAGGCTGGGAACAAGTAAAGGGCGTGGGAAAGGGGATGAGGATGGGGCTGGGGATGAGGGGAACATGGGGAAGGTTCTGGAGCTGGGAATGCCAGAGAAAGGCACTGGGGGATGGCCCGGAGATGCCTAGGAAGGGGGCTCAAGCTGGGGCGCTGCAGGCAGGCGACACGCGGCCCCGAGGACGAGGCTGTGTGGGGCAGGGCCGTGAGCACCGTCCCCTGCGCTCCCCAGGTGACTGCGGGCCGCCGCCGCGGCTCTCCTTCGCCGAGCCGGACGGGCCCACAAACGGCTCGTACGTCGCCGGCGCGCGGGTCAAGTACAAGTGCCGGCCGGGGCACGTGCCAGCCCAGGGCAAGGTCCCCTACACCGTGTGCATCGACACCGAGTGGTCCTTCGACAGCGACTTCTGCATCGGTGCGTCCCTGGCCGGGCCCATGGGTGCCCCCACAGCTGGGTCCCAACAGAGGGCCCTTTAATTTCCTTTAATTACCCATGGAGTAATGCAAAGTGCTGCGGCAGAGCAAGCATGGCCGCGTGTCGGGCCAAAGCAAAGGTGGGATGGGGAAACGGTGTCTGTCACCTCCTGGCAATGGGCAGGCGGAGGGGGTCTCCTTGCTGCAGGAAGGGGCCTCGGTGCTGAGGTCCCTGGGTCTCCCTAAATGTGTAAATACCCGTAAATCTGTGCTCCTTGATTGCCCTTAACTGTATGTAACTTTCAGTTCCTCAGAGTTTAATGTGGGTCATAAGCTTTTCTAGAAGCTGGAGAGGGAAGGCAGGTCCCTGATAATGCTGGAGGGCGGCGTGACCTGCACCTCATCCTAACGGCCTGAAACTCAGCTAATGCCGTCCCCTGTCCCGCAGGGAAGCGCTGCAGTGTCCCGGAGATACCCAACGGCAGGTTTGATGACAACGCCGACTTCCTCTTCGGAGGGATGATTCACTTCAGCTGCAACGAAGGGTGAGTGTCTGCCCTCGTACCAGGCTGGTCTGCATCGGACCAGGGGACAGCACCGAAGGGAGCGGGATACATGGAGCCTTGGAGCAGTTTCCTTGGAAAACAGGCAGGGGAGGAGATTCAGAGCCATTAGAAATGATAAAACTTCCTGAATTTCCCTTTTTTTCTCACTCTTTGTTTTTAAAGAGATTCAACCCTTCGTTCCTTAGGTACCGACTCATTGGGGATCCAGTTGCACAGTGTATCCTTCATGGCACTGACGTTGCCTGGAACCAGATTCCGTTCTGTGAAAGTAAGAGGCTGCCTTTGGATTTGTTCCTTGATTTTTCTTTGATTAATACCTTTTTGGCAGACAGAGATTATGGGTTTGTATTTTAATGGAAATGTTATTACATTTTTCTGCTATTTTTCCTTGCAGTTATTCCCTGTGAGCCTCCTCCTGAGATTGCAAACGGGCAGTTCACTGCTCATGACGAAAGCTTTACCTTTGGCTCCACTGTTACTTACAGCTGTCACCAAAATTTTACTCTCATCGGAGAGTCCCAGATTCACTGTACTTCAGATGACAAATTGAATGGAAAATGGAGTCATCCGGCCCCTGAATGCAAAGGTAAACGTCTTCTTGCTCTCCGTTTTCTTTTGATTTCATTTCTCTTGCCTCCTTCATGTCAAACTCTGCTTTCCAGATGGATTGACAAACATGAGAAGTTAATTTGAGTTTTAAATGATTCCCAAAGGCTTAAGGCAGTGAAGTTGTGGTCAGAGACAGGGCTTCGTTTCCCAGGTTCTTCTGCCCATGGAAAGCCACTTTTATAATCCAGATCGATCTAGAATAGAGAGCATTGCATTGCAGAATAGAGCTGCCACACCTGCAGCAGCACCGTCCCTGTGGCAGCAACTACGCTTATTTTTCCTTCATATTCTAGCAAACGTAAATGAAAATGATTTAGTTATTCAGAAGGTTCTGCTCCTCAAAAGCTCTTGAAAAGTCTCTCATAGAGGCAGTCCTGCTCAGACCACTTCTCACATAACGCCACTGGCCCTTTCCCTCCTCTGACAAGTCCTCTTCTTGGCTTGGTTTGTTTCCAGTGGTGAGATGTCAAAATCCAGAGGTGCCAAACGGGGAGAAGGTGTCTGGCTTTGGCACTGTGTACACGTATAAGAACGCAGTCACTTTCCAGTGTAAACTCGGCTACCTCATGAACGGGAGCAGTGTCATTACTTGTGAAGCCGACAGCACATGGAAGCCAGCCCTGCCACGCTGTGACCCACGTAAGTACAAGCGTAGCAGCGGTTCCGGAGGTGAGATCCCAACCCCGTGCGGTTGTAGCTGTGTGTTGGGCACCCCTGTGCGTGTGCTGGGTTAAGAGCCCTTGTGGTGGAGCCCAGGCTACTGATATGTTTAGAGATGAAGCTTTTTGTGAACTACACATGATCCAAAAGTGTGCTGAAAGATGTGGGTCTTCCTAGACCTGAAGCTCTTGCTTCACCGGTTTGCAGATCTGTGGGCTCAGCTGAATCCAGGTGCTTCATCCTGGGCTGGTGCTGAGCAAAGTAGCATCTCAGGAGCAGAGATGCTGCTCAGTGTGCATCTGTTCTCCAATTACACAAACTGTGATGCACGCTGCTGTTCCCGAGATGCAAACTGGACCCAGGACACTGGCAACCAACACGTTTAAAAGGATGTGTCCTCCCAAACAGTCGGCTTACTGTTACTGGATACCCTTTGGGAATTCTTCTGCAGCTGCCTTTGCCTTTGTCTCCAATTGCCAGGTTACTGTGGTCCTCCTCCAAACTTCACTTTTGCCGGATTACCGGGCACCGTGAGCAGCCAGTACATTGTTGGAACTGAGCTGACTTACACCTGTAAACCAGGTTACACTGCAGCAAGTGGGAAGTCTCCTGTTGTTACTTGTCTGACAAATGCAACTTGGTCCGCGAGCTCCAAGTTCTGTACACGTGAGTATCCTTGTTCCTGCCCTATCCTGATATACCAGTGATATATCTTGATGCTGTACCAGTGGCCTTTATATGCTCAAAGTGTTACTGATTCTGAAAGATAGCTCAAGCCCATCTCTGTGCTGGCACACCTGGTAGTTTCTTCATGAACCCTTTAAAGTGCATAGGGACAAATGTAGTATTTTGGTCTACCTGATAAGCTTAGAACAAGGTCTGCATGCCTTTAAGTGGACATTTCTCACGTGTCTAGACCAAGTGCTTTGTTTTCTGAACAAACTAAAGAACGGCTTTGTTCTGCCTCCAACTCCCCATAACTCAGATGAATTTGCTTGTGTTTGCATACCGAGTGATTCTCAAGAAGCAATTACAGTCGAGCATAATTGCAGATCAGTTTTTTCTCATTGTTTTTAGCAAGGTAAAGGAGGACAGTCAGAGGTATTGGTGAGACAGGGCCATAGACCTTTGTATTCCTTGTTGCTTCCTGTTCCTAGCCTTTCCCATTGACTTTCCGAGCTTGACTGCTGCAATAAAACAAGCTTAGATTGTAATCACAGTTACTGAGAAACATTGAACTAATGACATGTAATATTGCCACAATAAGACTGACTGACTAATAGTGAAATTACCATTGACTGACACATATCACGTCAGTACTGTTCTAAAATAACAAAGGTCTGCAAAAACTTCAGACCCTTCTTGGCAATGCATAAAAAATTGCTCTTAGCAAGACACCTCATACAGGTATTGGAAAAGCCCCTAAATATTGAGGAAGTTGAAGACTGGTGGAGTGGCGTATCCTGTCGTATATTGGGTGCTGCATGTTTGCTTTGCATTAGCGGTCTTATTTATCTCTGGCCCTCTGGCTTCTTGGTTTAAGAAGCTGCCTCTTGCAGGCGTGCGCTGTGCTGGGTGCGAGCCGTGCGGTGCCTGGTGCCGGCTGCTGCCCTATCTCTCTCCGTTGTCGCGTGCCAGGCTGCAGCAAAGGCTCCTCTGCTGAGGCCGAGGCCTCCCCAGGCGTCTCGGGGCACTGGGTTTTGGCACGGGTGCCAGCCTGCCCACGGTCTCGGTCTCAGTCGTGTAACTCTGTTCAAGAGCCATCAGTCGGCGTTGCTCTCCAAAGACAAATGAAGTAATTCCCATGCCGATTTCTTTTCTTCTAGGACGACAATGTTCTACTCCCCAAATAAAGGACGGGAAAGTGTTAGGAGACAATTTCGAGTTTGAGGCAACCGTGACATTCACCTGTAACGCTGGGTGAGTGCATTACTACTTAAAAGGGAGTGAAGCTGAAGGCCGAGAGCAGGGATCAGGATGCACTTCACGGACGGGCAGAACATCCACCCTCTGGGTGCCATACAAGTGCCCAGGAAAACTGTGTTCTCTCCTCAGGGAGAGCAGAAAGCGTGGCAATTTGTGTGTGATTGGGAACACAGCGAACCGCTTCAGTGCAGGGTGGGATGCAGCTCTTCTGAGCTATGGTGGGTCACCAGCACCCTGGGACAATGTTCGACAGAAGCCTGGGAGGCTGTTCCAGGTCTGGGGTTTGGGCGAATCCCCTTCAATCCTTTCCCAAGAAAAGGAGGCAGTGATTCCCGCTCTCCGAGATGGGGAGTTATTCCTGTGCTCTTGCCGAGACCCTCCTGAGGTCTCCCTCCTGCTAAAGTTCCTGGAAGTTTATACCCTTCTCCGCTGGTCAGGGCAGGGCAGCCCTTATCTGCTGGTTTACAATAGCTTTTGGCGTGTCCAGATACCATTTCACAGCAGGAGCGATTTCTCGTATCCATGCAATGGTGGGGGAGAGGGCAAAGAACCCTTTCTGGGTTGTTTTCCAAAAATTGTAAAACTTTCTTTTTTTTAGGTTTAAATTAAATGGGCCATCTTCTGCCACATGCATAGCTTCAGGAAATGGAGTTGCCTGGAATACAGCATTTCCGACCTGTGAAAGTAAGAGGAATTGTGCCTGGTCTGAGCTTGGTCTGGTCTTAATTGTGCTTGAAGCTGCTGTAAAATTCAAATTTCAATACTAGCTTGTGCTGTGAGCTGGAATATTCTGTGCTATTCAAAAGTCATGCTGACAAATTGGAGGGAGCCAGAGAAGAGCAACACAGAGCAGTCTGATGAGGTGCTTCAGTGGCTTATTTCATGGAGAGGTGTCCTCGAGCTGTGGCTCGTAGGCAGTAGTTGAAGTCTAGTATTAAGCAAGAAAGCTAGAAGTATTTTCAGATGTTTCTAGATGTGTTTCAGTTAGCTGTATCTTCTTCCCACATCCCTGCCCTAATTTCAGTTAGGAATGTGCTCAGACACTCTTGGTGCTGTTCCTCCCGTAGGAGAGCCCCTCAGTGTTTCCTGTGGACCACCACCGACGATCGACAATGGGATACACAATGGCACAGCAGAAAGCAGCTTCCCTCACGGCTCTGTTGTAGGCTATAAATGTAACGACGGCTTCACCTTTGTTGGGAAAGCCTCTATCCACTGTACAGTGGAAGGTGAATCTCGTGGAGTTTGGAGCAAGCCTACTCCTGAATGCAAAGGTGACTGTCCCCTCTGTCTATCTCGCAGCCTTCTACTCTTTCTCGGAACACCTCTACTTTCGCTTCCTTTGCACATCCTCAAATGAGATACTCAGTTAAGGAATAAGCCTTCAAAACTCCCCAAAACAGCCTGCACATGCTTAGTGCGTGTTCAGTTTCACATTTTACTCCCTTCTTTTCCAGGTACGGCTAACAAGATTGTTGCTGGTGAGTAAAAGAAATTCCTGCACCTTGTGCATGCGTGATGCGCGACTGGTCTGTTGTGCTGTGCAGTGCTCGTGCTAAATGTGTGTCCTAATGACAGCAAATGCCACCCATAGCAGAGTGAGGGGCTGTTCTCCCAGCTGCCAGGGATTCCTCCCTTGCTCGCTACAGCCCCTTGGAGGAAGCAGCAGGAAGTGTTGGCTGCTGAGCTGTGAGCATCGTCGGGCTGATAGCATCGCGGTGTTCTCTGAAGTCACTCTTAACCACACCGCCTGCCCCATTTTAAGTTATTGTCTCATAAGAAATTACATACATTCTGCTTAAGCCTGGAATAGGCCTATGAGCTTTCCACGCTTGTCATATTTATATTTTTGCTTTTTTATGGTCATCCTTTGAAAAGAGGAGAAAATGCTAAAGTCTGTCTGGGAGGGGGGAGGCAAAAAGTAAACAAATGTATGTAGCGTGAAGACTGAAGTTTCTTGTTTGTTGCTTGCAGGAATCCTGCCTCTCCTCCTGGCAATCCTGATTCTTCACTTTTAGTTTATGAAGCAGCAACTGGAAGAGTCGGAGCACTGGACTGTGGATGTTTTGGACTTGTTCTCACTGATCTCAGGGTTTTGGATTTCACTCTTGTGAGACGGGACTAGAAGTAGCAATCTGTGAACCTTAGATGAAAAAAATGGCATTGATCCTCCACCATCCTCACTGCTGCTGCCTGGGAACTGCTTGTGCTTTGGGTTGCAGGTGTAATAGCTGCATCTTGTGTCGAACATGTAGCACTTTGTATGTGGCCTCTGCTGGACAGCTCCTGGCCACCCAGATGAAACTACGATTCAGAAATCAAGTGCAGATATCCCCTGTGAGGTTGTAATGATGCCAAAGACTTTGTCCTGCAATACTGTAGAGTCATGAAAACGGAGCTCTTCAGGTACCATTATGTAGCACCTCCACCAAGGTAGTGTCGTCTGATCCTAACTGGGGTTTACAAGTGTCTTGAAGTGTCCTGAAGAGCGAAGTGATGCTGCTAAGAGAGTTAACAGACTGTTCCTGTGAGTCTCTTGAGAAAATTAAGGTTAATGTCTGAGTTGTGTTTCCTGTTCATATTCTGTAGGTACTGAGAGACCTGAGGATTTTCACACAAGAGTGTTTGCTCTAGTTTTTATTGCAGGGCAAGCATGAGCTGTTGCGCAAGTAGCAATCCATATAAATTAGTATTTCACTGGAGAAAAATATTTAAATGCCTTATTTAAGAGAACTACTATTCTGGATCTTCCTGCTGATATTAAAACTAATCTTGTGATCTCCTTATCTTATCAAAGCTTTTCTCTTCCTGCTTTGCTGAAACAGTCTTCATTGACTCAACTCTTCTTAGGAGGTGCCTGAGGGGGTTGCTGGGCTGGGGTGAAAGTTAAACAGGATGGGCGTTTCACAGCGTCAGTGCGGCTTGTCCGTGGGCACGTGTTCAGTCTATGGAAACGTCACGGCAACCCAACGCAAGCAGGTGCCTTTGCAGATTCCACCAAACACCACAACAGTCGCCTTGTTTGAACTCTTCGTTTTCTGCTCCCGTGCTTCCTGACTGATAGAAAGGCAATGTCTTAATTTGCACTGGAGAGGAGTTTGCTAGTTTGGAGAGGGTGATGCAAGGGGCTGTGCGTGGGCAGAGGAGGAGTATGGACCCCTGTGCGGGGAAGACCTTGGGAGCAGCTCAGCTCTAGAGGCTCCTCTAGGCCACTTGAAGGTGAAGGAGCAAAACCTGGTTTTGTGGCGTCCTGCCTGGATGTGACCCTGTGCCACATGCTCTAGGTGTCCGTACTTGAGCAGGGGACTAGATGATCTCTAGAGGTCCCTTCCAACCCCAGCCATTCTGTGGTTCTATGGCCAGCCGTGCTGGCAGCTCAGGGAAGTCCGCTGGCCTGGTGCTGTGGGGAGCTCTTGGTGCAGCGTGTTGAGTGGATGTGGGTGCTGCTGCGCAGGAAGCCAAGCCCTTCGTGCAGTCACCCGTGGTAATCCGGACACCTGCATCTTCTGCATGTTTTGCTTTTGTCCTGACAGAATTGGTCTAGTGATGCGTGTTGCACTGAGGACGAGTTGAGATGGGTGTGGGATATAGATGGGTAAAAAAGGAGTTAGAAAGCGTGCTAAAATAAGGTGTGCCATCCCCTTCCTTCCTGCTCGATGTGGGCTTTGTAGGTGCCACAGGGACGGCTCAAGTGACAAGACCTCCCTTGACATGCATAATTCCCTTGATTTGCAGAAATTGAGTTCAATTCATTGATTTGCAAAATTGTTTTGTTGGCTGATAGTGGGTCCTGGAGACAGCAGTGCTGTCTTCCCTGGTCTTAGCAGCACCAAGTTAAATGATCAGAGGGTCAAATTACCACTCGGTTGGCTTGGCCCCTGTGGCACTGCGGTGTCCTTAGAGCACCTGCCTCCTGTGCAGTTCTGCATTCGAACCCGCGTGTTCCTGCTAACAGGAACTTGTCCTCACAAGCTATAGTTCTGTGCTGCCGCAAAATGACTCTTTTCGGAAATTAGTCTCAAGAAATAGGAATTTGCACTTCTTTTTTTTTTCCATAAAGCAAATGAATGACTAGATGAACAAACATAAATACAAAGGTTAGTAGCTTAGGGATCGATTTTGTTATCTTAATCCTACAAAGTTGCCATTCCTACTGTATAATTCAGAGTGATTTTTTTCTTTCTGAATGAGTTTGACTTGTCTTTCGGGCTGTGTTGAACTGATCCATTCGTGTCCCCACGTTGGTGACCATAAGTGCTGTGAGGGAGCTTGTCACCGTGGAGGTTATCTGCCGGTAAAAGCATGTGAATGTGTAACCGCAACTGTGAATGAGTTGCACAAAATATCACTTTGTAGAACGCACATGCAATGACTTGAATTAAATTATGAGGTTTCAAGGCTGTTTGCTTCACACTTGTTCCTGGAGAAGTAATGGTTGGGAGGAGTGGGGGATCTTGGTGGTGGGTTTGGGAGCGCTGTGGCTCTGCGCGGTGGCCATGAGGAGGGAAACGCTGCCAACGTCCCCACCTTGCCCTTCTGCACCCTCCCAGCTGCTTCCGGGAGGGAAGAGCCGGTGGTTTGGGGAAGAGACCCTGTGGAAACCGCTTCCCACTCAGTTGTGTGCCCTCACCTCAGGGCGCCCTGTCCTCCCTCCCCTCGTGGCGCCATCTTCCCCCACATGGTGCCCTCCTCCCCCTTGCCTCAAGCCCTCTTCCCCCTCATGGCGCCTCTTCCCCCTCGCCTCAGGGCGCCCTCTTCCCCCTCATGGCGCCCTCTTCCCCCTCATGGCGCCCTCCTCCCCCTTGCCTCAGGGCACCCTCCTCCCCCTCATAGCGCCTCTTCCTCCTCGCCTCAGGGCGCCCTCTTCCCCCTCATGGCGCCTCTTCCCCCTCGCTGCCGGCTCCAGCGCGGCGGTGACAGCGGCGGGAAGCCCCTGGCTCTGCCGTCACCTGCATCTCCTTCCGCGTGCGGGGGGAAGCCGGGGTCCATATCTGCCCGCGGCCCCGGGTCAGCCGCAGTGGCCGCGGCGGCTGTCGGGGGCCGCGCATGGCGCTCGCCGGCCGCCTCCTGGGCGCCTGCGCTCTGCTCGTGGCCGCCCGGGCCCAGGCACAAGGTAAGCAGGGGACGCCTGGGGCACTAGACACCTGCGCCTCGCTCGCAGCGAGTCAAGAGGGCTCTTTAAATAAATGAATTCAGGGTGGGAATCCCCCCAAATGGCGCCTTGCAGGGTGGCAACGCGCAGGGGCAAAGGGGTGGCTTGTGTGAGAAAAGGTGAATGTCCCCAGTCCCCGCTTTGGAGGAAGATCAAGCTGCATTTGCTTTTGCAATATTTATTTTTACGCGCTCGCCTCCGCCCTGCTGGCACGTTGGTCCGAGACATCACCTCCCATCGCGCCAAAGACGCCCGCTTTGCATTCCTGCTGCATTCTTGTGCCTGCTGCAAATATTTACCTAGCGCTGCTGCTCTGCCCGCGGTGACTCTCTGCCGCCACTTCATTCCTACAGGCATCCAGTGCTCCCGACCTCCGGATATTCCCCACGGGATGCACACGGGCCGGTTCATGAGCGCGTTCCCCAATGGATCAGTCATAACGTACACGTGCATTCAAGGCTATGTCCGCGTTGGCGAGGCCAACATCCACTGCGCGACGGCGGACGGGCGGACGGGCGCGTGGAGCGGGGCACCGCCGCAGTGCCGCCTCAGTGCGTACATCGCCGTCGGCTCGGCTCTGTCCCCTGCATGCCGGTCCCTCCTCGGATGAGCCCTCAAGAGCATAGCCAGCATTAACTCCTGGCCAAATCCTCCCAGCGTTTCCATGGCAAGGATGAGATGGAGACGAGTGGTGCTAGAGCAAGGGGGCAGGTCACGCTGGCACCAGATGTGCCCAAGCACTCTGCTGCCTGTCCTTTAGCGGGGAGCAGCAAGGTCTGGAGGGCCTTTTGGTGCCACCGGGTGATAACGGATCCCATGTCCCCGCTCTGCTGCTGGGGAAGCGGCTGGGATCACCCTGGGGCCCCATAGAGCCACCCTAGCTGAGGCTGTGCGTGTGGGACAAGCGAAGGACAGAGCTCTTCCCCAGGGATCTCTCGCCATTCAGCAAGTGCCAGGGAAACCTTCACGAGTACGACAGGCTGGAGAGCGGCGCAGCTCAATGTGGGTATTTCTCTGCCTTTTCCAGATGCTCAGTGCGCATTCCCGCACATCCAGAATGGGAGGACACTGCCGGCTCCCTACATCTACAGGCCCGGGGATACCGCGAGCTTTGCGTGCAATCCAGGCTACGCCATCCAGGGCTCCCGCGCAGCCGTGTGCGGAGCTGATTTCACGTGGAGTCCCCCTCTGCCAGTGTGCAAAAAGGGCAAGTGTCCCAGTGCAGGGGTGTGAATGACAACGACGGGGGAAAAGCTCCCTCTTCTGCCTACTGAAATTCGGTGGGAAAGCAAAGCCTGGATGGACCTGGCCTTGCTTCTCATCTTGAATCAATGCACGGGGAGACATAATCAGCTCAAAAGTAGCTTACTGTCCATCTCCAGAAGCTACCGGAGCTTACTGCTCCCTCCTGGGCTCTGAGAGGGACGAGAATATATTGAGATCCCAGTTGATCTCCTTGTGTGCTGTGGTGTTTCTGCTCCCCGTGCTGCAGCAGGAGGCTGCAATATCTCGAGCATGCAAGCGATGCGCAGGCCAGCTGCAGGGAAGTGGCGATGTCTGCTTCCCACCAGGGAACTGCTCATTCTGCTTATAGCTCACAGTGGGATGCCTTCGTTGCCCTGTTTGCTTCCTGCTAGCACGTTCTGTGATCTGAAGTGGGAACGGGAAGCAATCACAACTTCTCACTCCCTTTGCTGCTCTTGTGTGTTCACATGTAAGCTTTGATGTCAGGAAACGTTGGCCTTAGTAGTAATCCCCTCCAGCTATAATGTGAAAAATAATCTTGCTGTGGCTGAAGTTTTCTGTTAACTAATACATCGGGACAGGAAATAGAGCAACGACTGAGCAGAATTCAGGATATTATCCTGGCAAACAGTTCTGATAACATGCAAAATGGTACACAGCTGAGTCAGCAATGTCTGTTCCCATTCCAGAGGTGAAGTGTTCCCGGCCACCCAACATCGCCAACGGGCAGCACAGCGGCCGCTCCTCAGACACCTTTCCCCGGGGAACGACGGTGACCTACACCTGCAGGGAAGGCTACACCATGGTTGGGAACATGTCCATCAACTGCTCGGACACGGGGCTGTGGAGACGGCCCCTTCCCCGCTGCGAAGGTGGGTTGGTGCCCACTGCAGGGCCACGGGGGCAGCCAGCTGCACCCGGGTGTCAGCGGAGCACGGGAATGTTCTGGGAGTGATGGGATGTGGCTGAGTGTGCTGCTGTCCTACCCACGCACGGGCATTCAAAGGATGCCACCCGTGTTCTCTGCAGCCATCGGATGCGAGAGCCCCACGGTGCAGAACGGGGTAGTTCTCAGCTTGCAGAGCGCCTACAAAGCTGGCGAGACTCTTCATTTTGCCTGTGAAGATGGTTACGCCTCAGAGGACTCCTACGAGGCCCGGTGCCAGCCGGGGGGCGCGTGGGACCCACCGGTGCTCAGCTGCACCAAGGGTGAGTGCTGCTGCCCCCCTTGCTGCTGGGGCCACGGTGGCAGAGCTGCGGTGCCACCACGAGCCCTCCGGTGACAGGTGACCCTGTCCAAGCTGCTCGTGGCTGGGTGCTCCTGGCCTTGCTGCAGCACCTCAGCCTCCACACTGCGCCCCTTCCCCCTTTCCTGCTGTTCCTTGCTTCCTTACTCTTCCTTGCTTCATTAGAGACACTGTCCCTCTCTTTTACAGTCCGGCCGTGCCCCATGCCTCCCAGGATCGCTCACGGCCACCACAACAGCCTGGACAGGCCGTTTTTCACCTTGGGAATGTCCGTGATGTACAGCTGCGATCCCGGCTACTACCTTATTGGAAACGGCCTTGTTCTCTGCAGAGCCTCTGGCAACTGGAGCCTCCCCACGCCTCGCTGTGAAGGTGGGTCCATGGTTTCCTCCAACGTCACCTCAAAACCCAGCAGCTCTCGGCGTGGCAGGTAGCACAGCAGAGAAGTCAACCATGGCATCTGAGACCCTCCGTGGGGAATTTGAGTCCCATTTCAATGGTTTTATATTTAAACAGTTATATATTTATACAGTTTTATAAAACCTAAAGGATGAGCTTATGATTGTGAACAGGGAGACAGGTAACTTTATATGCAGGTTTATCAGTGCAGCACTTCAGTGTTAGAAGCCATGTGCCAGGGCCCCAAGAGTCCTTCCAGCATCTCCATTTTCCTGTTTCCCAGCTCAGAGAAACGAAGCTCTCCAAGTGCTGGGCACCTGCTGCCCTCCCACCTGCCTTGCCTGCTGTGGCGAGTGCAGGCTGGTCCCTGCTGTGGTGCAGCTCAATAATTCAAATTATTGAACGTGAATGGCTGGCACTGGCTCCTAAAGCCAGCACAGTGTTTGATTTGAGACCAAAGGCAAAGGTGTCTCCCAAGTTAGCTCCCTCCACAAGGTGCTCCAGCACCAGCTTGGCACTAGTGTGCCCAAAAAGCAACCCGCTGGAGATGCTTAGTTGCAAGCAGCTGTTGCTCTGCTCCAGGATGCAGCCTTCCAGGTAGGAACTGCTGCATTATATGAATGGATTCAGCATTCTTTCGCCAGAGAAGTCAGGGGAGTCCTGGGACACCACAAGACTGACTATTACGTGGTAGACATAGACAGTACCTTGGCTACACCCCCTACATCCCCTTCCAGCTTCTCCACTGTTTTCGTTGCTTAGGTGACTTGGAGTTGTGTTTTTATCTCGGAGCTCACCTCTTGCAGGAACTCTCCTGACCCTTTCCCTCCCTTTCCAGAGGTGAAGTGTTCCCGGCCACCCAACATCGCCAACGGGCAGCACAGCGGCCGCTCCTCAGACACCTTTCCCCGGGGAACGACGGTGACCTACACCTGCAGGGAAGGCTACACCATGGTTGGGAACATGTCCATCAACTGCTCGGACACGGGGCTGTGGAGACGGCCCCTTCCCCGCTGCGAAGGTGGGTTGGTGCCCACTGCAGGGCCACGGGGGCAGCCAGCTGCACCCGGGTGTCAGCGGAGCACGGGAATGTTCTGGGAGTGATGGGATGTGGCTGAGTGTGCTGCTGTCCTACCCACACACGGGCATTCAAAGAATGCCACCCGTGTTCTCTGCAGCCATCGGATGCGAGAGCCCCACGGTGCAGAACGGGGTAGTTCTCAGCTTGCAGAGCGCCTACAAAGCTGGCGAGACTCTTCATTTTGCCTGTGAAGATGGTTATGCCTCAGAGGACTCCTATGAGGCCCGGTGCCAGCCGGGGGGCGCGTGGGACCCACCGGTGCTCAGCTGCACCAAGGGTGAGTGCTGCTGCCCCCCTTGCTGCTGGGGCCACGGTGGCAGAGCTGCGGTGCCACCACGAGCCCTCCGGTGACAGGTGACCCTGTCCAAGCTGCTCGTGGCTGGGTGCTCCTGGCCTTGCTGCAGCACCTCAGCCTCCACACTGCGCCCCTTCCCCCTTTCCTGCTGTTCCTTGCTTCCTTACTCTTCCTTGCTTCATTAGAGACACTGTCCCTCTCTTTTACAGTCCGGCCGTGCCCCATGCCTCCCAGGATCGCTCACGGCCACCACAACAGCCTGGACAGGCCGTTTTTCACCTTGGGAATGTCCGTGATGTACAGCTGCAATCCCGGCTACTACCTTATTGGAAACGGCCTTGTTCTCTGCAGAGCCTCTGGCAACTGGAGCCTCCCCACGCCTCGCTGTGAAGGTGGGTCCATGGTTTCCTCCTCACCCCAAAATCCAACAGCTCCCAGCGTGGCAGGAAGCGCAGGAGGAAAAACTGCCCATTGCAACTGAGTCTGTAGGGCTGATTAATCCCATTTGATGTATGGCCTGGAATAAATTAATCTCAAGCCCTTCTACTGTGAAGGGGTGACCGGAGAATTTGATAGAAATGTCTTCTAGAATTTATTGCCTGCAGCATTGACATCCTCTAGTAATTTTTTAAAATGCTTTTACGCATCCCTTCTGCACATCTTCATTTCCAGGGACTGTCTGCATGAATCCGGACGTAAAAAATGGAAGGAAAGTTAATGGTCAAGGATTTATATATGGACCCGGGCAATCGATTACATTTCAGTGTCATGATGGTTACAGCCTGCAAGGAAGTGCTAAAATCTACTGCCAGAAGGATGGCACCTGGGATCCTCCTGTCCCGGTGTGTGGGAGAGATGAGCCTCCACCAAGCCTTCTGCAGAGGCATACACTAGCAGGTAGGTCATGGCATTTGCTGTGCTCTGCTATCTTATGTCCTCTATTCTGTTTTAAAAATGGTTAAATCCTATATTTCTACTTGTCAAGCAAATGGAAGATGCAAGTATATTCTGGGAACAAGCTGCCATTAGAAACAGGATAAAATGCTGTATATATTAAAGAAAAAAAAAAGATATATCATCTGTATTAATCAAAACGATTCAAGACCAGACACTTTCTTGGTAACAGTGTCTCTTTCTGCATCTGCTGTGCTTGTCCTGCCAAAGCAAAGTGCTAATTCTCCTCTGTGTTTCCTTTCTTGCTAGGTCATGGTTGTGGTGCTCCTACCAGGTTGCTCTTTGCTGAGCTAAGCGAGGAGCATATAAATGAGATTGACTTTCCTGTTGGGAAGACTGTGAGATACTCTTGTCGACCTGGATATGCTAAACACCCAGGAATATCACCTACTATTACATGCCTTGGCAGTGGAGTGTGGTCAGAAGCACTAGAGTTCTGTAAAAGTGAATAGCTCCATTGATTTGGTGTCTTTTGCTCAAGTAGGAATTAGGGATATCTGTCCATGCTACAAAAACCTTAGCATTATTTTGTTGTTGAAGCAGTATGTGACTAGTAAAGCCATGTAACTTTGTTATTCAAAACCCACTTGGGGGGGAAGTGGAAACGAGGATAGATTATTGGAGGAGTAATTGCATTTTTGCACCATGGTGTATACAAGAGCCTAAAATTAGTCTTGTTCTCCTACAGGGAAACAGTGCAGTCATCCTGGTGAACCTGAGAACGGCAAGATTAGTTTCATAACAGACCTCCTTTTTGGGTCAATAGTGAACTACAGCTGTGAGGAAGGGTAAGTTCAAGGTTGCAGACTTGTTCTTTGCTGCTATTTAAACCTGGAAAGAAGGTTGCACTTGGTAAGTGTCTGTTTTTCCCTTGTATTCATTCATTCCCTTAAAATGGATGTGGCTCCTGTATAGAGTGCTTTACGTATATGAACAGATAAGGTGTTTTGTCTTGAGTATATATGTGTATATATACTGTCAAACTGGCAAGGGGATGTCAAACTAGGACGGGGGTTTCACCCATGAGGTTTGACATCAGCAGGGTGGCAGCAGGGCTGCTCAGAGTGTCAAGGAGGAGATAACGTGCGTTGAAATGACCTGGAATGAATGTTAAATCCCTCTAATGCCAGGCACAGGTTAATTGGGCAGTCCAGCAGGCGATGTGAGATTGCTGGCAGAGCGCGTGTTGAATGGAGTGGCAGCCTTCCCATTTGTCAGCGTAAGTAGCTTACAGCTCTGGGTACATTTTGGTATTTAAAAGCATTTTACAGATCTTCCCGGTGTATATTAACTTAAAAGGTGACATAGAAATTGCTGACTCTCTGTTCTTTTGCACTGTGTGCAGATGAAAAATCAGTATTTTACACAGTTGACACAAAAGAAATATTATTTGCTTTTTTATTTTTGAAAGAGTAGAAAAGATAAAGAATGTAGATACTTCCTGCATAGTGGTTTGTCCTGTTGTGTCTGCTTTCTGGCCAGCCTGTTATTGCTGGTTAGGGGAACAGGATCCTGGTGCCTACAAGGTATCACCTAGAAGGTCAGTTAGTTCACCACAGTTTTTCCATCCCTAGGACAAGTATTTAAGGGATTGCAGATACTTTAGTGCCATTGCTGAGCTGAGGAGCCCTGTTCTGCGTCTCTGCAGGAATTCCCTGCGAGCCTCCTCCCGACATTCCCCACGGGAAGCACACGGGCAGGCTGCTGGACGAGTTCTACTTCGGCACGTCGGTGACGTACACGTGCGACGCGGGGCACCCGCTGCGCGGCGAGGCCTCCATGCACTGCACCACCAGGGACGGCTACAACGGCGTGTGGAGCAGCCCTCCGCCTCAGTGCGGAGGTACGAGTCCTGGGCGCAATCCCCCCAGCCCCACAGCTGCGCTCTGGAGGAAAATCATTTGCAGCCTTAAGTCTAGAAGGCTTCTTCACAGCCGCGTTGTTCTGCACGGCCATGCCTGCTCTGAGATCCTGCACTTCTTTCCAGACTTGTCAAAACTTGAATCTTTGCACCAACTGAGATGTTCTGCTTTCACTTTTTCTTCGTACTGCTGCGGGTGTTGATGAGATTTTCCTTCTCTCGTCAGCATCGACATGCCCAGCTCCTCCAGCCATCTCCAACGGGAAGCACAGCGGGAAGCCCGGGGAGGCCTTCAGCGCCGGAGCATCTGTTAATTACCGCTGCGATCGTGGCTATGCTCTGGTCGGGGAAGCACAGCTTAACTGCACTGCCTCTGGCACGTGGAGCCTCCCCAGCCCTCGGTGTGAAGGTCCGTGTGCCTCCTCTCAACTGCTGATTTTTCCTTGCTGGGCTTCCAGGTCTGTGGGACAGGGGAGTCTCTGGGCGAGGACAGATGGTGACGGCCTCAGGGACAGAACAAATAGTTTAGAAAGAACTCAGGCTTTAACGTAAGTAGGATCTCATTGGTTCCATATGAGTTTATAGATCCCTTTGCTTTAAGATGAGAAGGGATGCTTTGGGCATATGGAGAACTGAAAAAGGCATTTGTATCGAAAATGTGTAGAAGGTGGAAATTGTTTGTGGAAAACAAGCAAGTCCTAACAAGTCTGGTTAGGACTTGAAAAAGTGAAGCAGGTAAATGGAAGGTGTTAAAGCAATTGCAATTTATGCTGCCTTTGTTTTGTCTGACCTCTCTTATCTTTCTCGTTAGCTGGCTGTAATGCACCCGCGAGGCTGGTGTTTGCTGAGCTCAAGGAGGAGTTCAGCAATCAGCCCGTCTTCGCCGTGGGGCGGACAGTGGAATATGTGTGTCGGCCTGGATATGCCAACCACCCAGGAATGCAGCCGTCTGTCACGTGTCTCCAGAACAGGACATGGTCTGCAGCCCCGGAGTTCTGCAAAAGTATGTGCTGAAAAACCTAACGACTTGAGCTTGGGTTGGTTTTTAGCACTCTTTGAGTGTAAATCCTTCTAATGCTGTGAGTTTCTTTCCTTTCTACAGTCCTTTATGTTAGGATTCTTGGGACAAGATTTCACTGCCCCGTGCCATTGAACAGAGGAGGTCTAACGTTAGTTGATGTTCTCTTCCAGGGAAGCAGTGTCCTAACCCAGAGGTACCGGAGAATGGCAGAGTTGAAATTCTGACCGACCTCTTCTTCGGGTCGAAAGTGAATTACACTTGTGAAGAAGGGTAAGTCTTATGATTAACCAATTTCAGCTGCCAAGTGCAAGCTTAGCAGATCTAAAGTGTCAAAACAGTTTTACACTAAAGAACCTAGTTTCTAAGTGAGAAGTGTGGGTTGCTGCTTACAAGGGATGTATATAAAGCAAGAAATCCCTCTGTGCAACCACAGGCACAAGCTGATCGGACCTTCTCAGAGAAGATGTGAGGTCTCTGGCACACGTGTTTTATGGAGCGGAGATGTTCCTGTTTGCCGCAGTAAGTAGATCACAACAAACAGTCCTTGCAGATCGCTTGCCCCAGTGTTTTTAGGAGAAAGTGGCTCATCACTCCAACCAAAAATTTTGCTGCAAAACACTTCTCACGTGCAATCAGGGCAGCAATGGTGCAGTGAAACTGCTGAGGGACGAGCAAGAAACCACAGAGGTGGGAAACTGTACACAAAATTCAGCAGTTTCATATAGCAGCCTCACAAATATTTCATCCGTAAGTGCAGATAAATAGTTATGAGTTGCAGAAGAAAGGACAGTCACTGCAGTGAAGTGGTTGGCCCATGTGCAGGCACTGTATCCAGTCACAAGAAGACAGCTACATTTACAGAAATTTATTAAAAACAATTAATGAAATTATTTGTCTTCCTCCTTTGATTTTTGAAGGTTAGAATATTTTGTGTATATTTTATTTTTTTCCCCTTTCTGTGTGCTTGATCTTTCTTTCCCCCTTTCAGAGGTGAATTGTTCTTCTCCTCCAAACATTGCCAATGGGAAGCACAACGGTCAGTCCTCAGACAAGTTTCCCCCTGGAACAATCATTCAATACACCTGCAAGAATGGTTATACCCTCATTGGGAATGCAACCATTAACTGTACTGCCTTGGGAACGTGGAGCCGGCCCCGACCCCGATGTGAAGGTCTGTTCATGTTGCTGCTTTTATCATTCCCTGAGCAATTTTTTTCCATTTTAGCTCTTGGTTTAAGCACTGCAGACCAAATTTCCATGAAAGGCACAGGCTGAAGATAGAGCTTCACAGGCCTCTTTGGATTTCCTTTTCTTTAGTCCAGTAAGGACTGACTCAAACACAACTGGATATTGATATTCCTGAATGATTTGTGTGAGTAATACTTAATAATGTTGAGATGCCTGCAGAAGTGTTGGTAAGGTTCTTGGTGTAGCTGTTGGCTCATGTCAGCATCACTCTGCTTCACGTCCTAAATGGTGGTTTATGTTCTCCCCTTCCAGCCACTGGCTGCAAAAGACCCCAGATTGAGAATGGAAGAACAACTGGACCTGAGACCATGTACAAATTTATGGACATTATTGTCTTTGAATGTGATTTTGGCTATGCCTTAAAGGGCTCTCAAGAGTCTCAATGCCAGTTGGGAGGCACCTGGGACCCTCCTCTCCCCACCTGTGAAAAGAGTAAGTGGAAATGAAGCAGTGGAGCTGCTTTCTCCTGAAGCCACCACACAAGTACAGCTGACAGTTGCTTCATTTTGGGTAAAAGGATGCTAAGTGCCTCTCTCCAAAGGAAAAGAAATGAAAAGCATGCAAACGTTTGTCCTCCCATCCTGACAATCCCCGTTTTCTTGTTATAAGTACGGGTTTCACCTCCTGTATGACTCCGGGAAAAGAGAGGTATAGCCAGGCTGGTTGTTTTCACCACCATAGAAGAAAATGCTCTACTGCTAATGCTAAGTGAGAAATACTCCCTTGAGATGTTAACAAGCTAGAAAAAAAATATTGCTAGAAAGACAGCTTGACAAGACAAAAATCTAAACGCAGAAATATGATTCAAATATTGGCATTCATACTTATTTGGGGAAGATCAATGGGAAAGCAAGCAGGCTGCCTGTCCCTACAGCGTGTGCTTGTGCTACCTCGTCACAACTTTTGACTTTTCCCTTCTCTACAGTGCTGCTGTGTCCTTCCCCACCAAGCATCAAAAACGGCCAGTACAACAGCAGGGAGGAGAAAGTTTTCATCCCCGGAGTATCGGTGAATTACCACTGTGACCCGGGCTACACGCTCACGGGCACGACCAAAGTTTCCTGTCTGCCATCTGGAATGTGGAGTATCCCTTACCCCCGATGTGAAGGTGTGTCCTTGTCCCTAACGTAAGGACGGAGACCACGAGGGTCATCCCGAAAGAGGGGCCCAGCAGTGAGTGCACGGGCTCCTCTTTGGAGCTGCGTTGAGCAGGCACGGGCAGCGGGCAGCACCCAGGTGGGGATTTCAAGGGTTTCCACACGCTGCTCTCCTTTCTCCTTGTGTGCCTTTCCCTGAAGCTAGGGGAGAATTGCTACAGTTCAGGGGAATTTTCACCCTGAAAAGAAACAGGGAAGCCCAAGCCTGGCAGCTGCTTCCCCAGCCCATGCTTTGCTCGTGTTCCTTTTCAGTCGTCATCTGCACAACGCCAGCAATCAAGAACGGAGCAGTAGCTGGAGAGGGCAGAGCCATGTACAATCCTGGGGACACCGTCGCCTTCCAGTGCCACCCTGGCTACGTGCTGCAGGGCAGCCACAGCGCCGAGTGCTGGCACGACGGCCGCTGGGTCCCTCCAGTGCCCACCTGTGTGCCAGGTGAGCAGGGATGTGGTTTTCTGAATGGGCAGGTTTCTGGCAGCAGCTGTGAAATGGAGAGGGAAAGGTCTGAGGCTGGGGACGTCCCGCTGAAGGGAGCGCTCCCAGCAACCAACTAGCAGCGACTTAAATTCATAGAATCATAGAATTCCCCCAGGGAAAGAGGAGCAGCTTGGTGCTGAGCACTGAGGAGACTGAGGGTTCTCCCTGGGTGGCAGAGGGCCTGAGAGTGGCATCTCTGAGGAGATGCAATGGTGTCTGGCTGTGCTGCCCGTGCTCCTCCGTTGGGTGCCAGCCTCAAGGGACCTCCTTTCTCCTTTATTCTCCTAGGGGTGCCTTGTCCTCCGCCGCCGGTCATCGCCAACGCAACGCCCAGCGCGGAGCTCGGGGAGAGCTTCACCAGCGGCATGTCCGTCACCTACAGCTGCGAGCCTGGCCTCTCGCTCGTGGGCAACGCTTCGCTCCTGTGCTCGCCCACGGGCACCTGGAGCCTCCCCTACCCGCGCTGCGCAGGTGCGTCCGGGCTGCTGCCTCCATCCCCTGCACCCCAGGCTGTGTGGGCACCTGGCCCTGCGCGCCTGGCACCGTAAAACCTGCGGAACCCGCAGGGTTTGGGGTCAAACAGTCAAAAAACAGGGCTAAACAGGATGCTCTTTTCCCTTTAGGAGTAAAAGTGTTGTTGTATGTTGATAGAAGTGAAAATGTGTGAAGAGAGAGAAATGTCCTTGGCTTTGGCAGCAGCGTCCACCCGTGCACTTGCTGATCTTCGTTAGCACTGCGTTGTCTGCTCTGTTTCTCACGAGCCTTTTGTTTCTTGGCAGCTGGCTGTGGGACTCCACCAACACTGCTCTTTGCTGAGCTAAACAAGGAACACAAAAATCAGACGGAGTTTCCTACTGGGACAACTGTGAAATACTCCTGCGGGCCAGGATATGCTAAACATCCACAAATCCCACCAACAATTACTTGTCTCGAAAACCAAACGTGGTCAGATCCCCAGGAGTTCTGCAAACGTAAGTCTTGCAGATACTGCCATCTTCTTCAATGGCAGTGTGGCCACCAAAGCCTGTGGCTTGGTAGATGCTTCTCTCTTTCTGTTCCCCGCGTGGTGGGGGTGGTGGTAGGACTCCAAGGATGAACGTGCTGCTTCTCCAGCTGCATTGACTGAGGGAAGTTCACAGCCAGCTCTTGTTTTGTCCCAGGGAAAAGGTGTGAGCACCCAGGAGAGCCCGAAAATGGCAGAGTTATTGTTACAACAGACGTGATGTTTGGGTCAACTGTGAATTACACTTGTGAGGAAGGGTGAGTCCCAGGCCAGGCTCGCTTGGCTTACCAAGATGCAAGTGGTGATGTCTCTGTCTTCTCTCTAGCTCTCTGGTACAGCGCAGTTTTATACAGGAAATCAGTGTCCATCCAAGTGAGCTTAAAATGGATATCCCAGGATTTACTGCCCACAGCCTTTGTTGGGGGAGCCCTAATGATGACAATATTCAATGGCACCGAGGGTGGGACGTGCAGGGCGTAGAGGACGAGCTCCAAGGACAGTCCGTGTGCGGTAACAGGGACCTCCCTGCAGGTTCAGGCTGGTGGGACCCGCTCAGCGGCGCTGCGTGATCTCCGAGGCCGGGAAGAGCGTTGTGTGGAGCGGCGACGTTCCCGCCTGCCAGCGTAAGTACCCCGTGGAGCAGCTCCGTGGGGAGAGTCGCCTCAGAGCTTTCCTTGCAAAGCGCTTCCACGGGATGGGTAGTTCCCGCGTGGGCCGAGACGGGGCCGTCGCAGCCGGCTCCTTCCCGGGGGAGGCTCCGGGGCCGCTCGCTCAGAGCCGCCCTGCGCATCCGCAGCCATCATGTGCCAGCCGCCTCCGGACATCCCTCGCGGGACGCACTCGGGCCGCCACACGGACAACTTCTCCTTTGCCGCTGTGGTCACGTACACGTGCGAGCCCGGCCACGCGCTCACGGGGGAGGCCTCCATCTTCTGCACCACGGAGGATGGGCTGCACGGCGTGTGGAGCGCGCCGCCGCCGCGCTGCGGAGGTAGGGCCCCACGGCAGGACCTGCTCCTTGGTTCTGCACAGAAAGGGTGCACCCTGGGTGCACAGGTGCCATCTGCCTTCCCACCCTCCCCTCTTGTGGATGCTGGGGGTGAACGGAGGGAAGAAATAACCCAAATCCACCCCCTGCTTAGAGATTTCCTTCCTCACAGAGCTCCTGTGTCCCTCCCCGCTGGATATCGACAACGGTCAGCATGATGGCTGGGAATTGCGAGTCTTCCCCCCTGGAAAGTCTGTGAATTACAGCTGTGAGCCCGGATACTCCCTTGTTGGAAAAGCCGCTCTCTACTGCACCGAGAATGGGACCTGGGACCTCCCCTACCCGCAGTGTAAAGGTGAGCGTGCTGGGGAGCAGGTACCAGAGCAGGTCCCAGTGCCTCCAAGTGACACCCACAGGTCTGGGCTTGGTGTGGCACACAGGGTGCTCCGTGCGGGGGCAATGTGCAGTCTGTAACGTTTGCAATATTTCTGCATTTGTAGTATTTGTAGTATTTGTGCATGTCACCTGATTTGTGCTCTCCATCAGCTGAGTTCGTCCTCTCCCTTTAGTGCTGCAATGTCCTTCGCCTCCAAACATTGACAAAGGAAAGCACAACGGCCAAGGCTTGGAAGTTTTCACTCCTGGGATGGCCGTCAATTACAGCTGTGACCCTGGCTACTCCCTAACGGGAGAGGAATCGATTTATTGCACAGATGCTGGAAACTGGAGCCTCCCTCTTCCTCAATGCAAAGGTACCCCACTTTACAGAGCGTTACAGATAGCTGGATATCCCTCTATTTGGGAGCTTGTAAGACCTGCCCTCTCCCCTACTGTATTAGTTAAATGTTGCCCCTCACTCCTTCCCTTTTGTTGTCTGTTGAGCTTTTACATTTGAATCTGTGTGTACTCAGAAAGCATTTTAAAGCAATTGGGTTAGCTGATAATGCCCCAATTTTCCTCTGTGTATTTTCTTTCCAAACAGGTGGCTGTGCTGCCCCTCCAGACCTGCTCTTTGCTCAGCTAACTGAGGAATACAAAACCCGGAGAGCGTTTGCTGTTGGGGACACCGTGAAGTACACCTGCCAGCCGGGATACACACGGCACCCTAGGATACCTCCGACACTAACATGCCTCAAAAACCAAACGTGGTCTGAAGCACTAGAGTTTTGTAAAAGTGAATAGCTCCATCAGTTTGGTCTTGTTTATTTTTTTGTAAACGGTGTAAGCTCTATTTGTGGGTTTCTTAAAGCAATTCTTTAAAAAATGATTCGTACATGGCTTTACTAGTCACATAGTTTTGGCAATTATGGACCTTTTAAAACTCCTTTCTTTACGGTGACAGAATGTGGACACATCTTTAGGATAGTATTTCTCATTACAGAGCACAAAGCTGAGAAGAGTTTAAAATCAGCCTTGTTCTTTCCCAGGGAAACGATGCAAATATCCAGAAGCACCACAGAATGGCAGGGTTGTCATTCTGACAGACCTCCGCTTTGGGTCAGCAGTGAACCACACGTGTGACGCCGGGTGAGTCCCACGCTGCCTTCACTGCTATTTCCTGAGCTCGGTGCAACTTGCAGCGAAGGATCCCGGCTCCTCTGTGCACGCTGCTATTTCAGAGCAAGCCAGAACTTGTGCTTGGCTTCCAGTTTATATCTGAGTTGCCAGCTCAGGAAGGGAGAAATTCCTCCTCGTTTCCCAGTCTGTGCTTGATGAACTACTTTGCAAACTTCACTTTCAGTCTGACTTCTCAGGCCACAGCAGAGCGAGCGCCTGTAGAGAGGAGGCTCCAGCACTTCTTGCCTCCTTCGGGAGTAATTTGTGATCATTTTTGTTCCCTGTGGGTCCAGAGTGAAGGGATTTTGTGTCCTTTATTCCCATGGGTGGAATCAGCAGAGACACCTGGGTGAGCGGCCAGAATCGGGAGGCTGCGGAAGGAAACCTCGGGGGCTGTGGTGGTGGCAGTGCACGATACAAGAAGTGACCTGGTATCAACAGACACTTCTCTCTGTGCCCTTCCAGGCACGAACTAGTTGGCCAGTCACAGAGGCGATGTGAGATTATTGGAACACTTGTTGCCTGGAGTGGTGCTCCTCCCATTTGCAGGAGTAAGTACGTCATGTCCAGTATCGGCCCAAAATATTGGCCCAAAATGGTTAAATAAAGTCCTTAAGATCAAACAGTGGCATTTCAGAAGACAAACAAACAAACAAACTCCCCAAAAAACAGAGTCTTGGGGAATAAAGCTTTTTAAGCATAATATTCCTTTAGGATATTTTTGTTTTATTTCTTCTAATAATATTGCAGATGTGACATTTTGATCTTTCAGAGTTACGAAGGAAGAAAAGCCAGATCCCAGCAGGGACTCGTCTCTTGTTTCACAAAACTAGTTTATTCTTCTGTGTGTCTCAGTGCTACGTGCGAAAGCAGCTCAGAGAACTCAGGGGGAGCAGTGGCAGGCTCAGGATGGACTCTATATGTGCATCATCTTCAGCAGACATTGGTCTCTCTATCTGAACCAGTGAATTTCTTTTTCAGAGGTGACGTGCCCAGTCCCGAAGATCCAGAATGGGAGAATATCCATTCATAAAGATAACTACACGTATGAGGATACCGTTAGCTTTGAGTGCCACGAAGGCTTCACCCTGCAAGGCCATCACACAGCTCGATGCAGAGCCAATAAAACATGGGACCCACCTGTGCCAGTGTGTGAGCGGGGTAAGTGTAACCCTGCTGACTTGGTCATGTTGCTCTTTCCTTCCCGACTGCTCCCAGGAACTCATGGAAGCTGAATTTGCCTCTATCTGTCCTGCTCACCCCTCTTCTCAAATCGAGGTACTTGACTGGCTACCTGACAGCAAAACAAGAAATTGTTCCTTTCATTTATCACTTTTCTCATGACCAGGGTGAAGGCAATGTCATAAATATCCATGTCCATAATCCATGTTCTCCTCACTCTCTGAAAGTAAGAAACTTGACTGGTTCAGGGCAGGAACTGACTATCACAGAAGAGTGACAATTATTTTAAAACACGAAAGGGGAGATGATAGAAAATGAAAGTAGGGTGGTACTTGGCACTATTCTGCAGACGGGTATTTAAACTCTTAATGCTGTATCTAGGTGGAATGACAAAACACCATCACCAGCTTTTTGATACCCCAACAAGGCCAGGTAGGTCTATCATAAGAAAAGACCAAAGTTGTCAAACACCCCCCCCTTGCCCTGCTTCTTGCAGGGAGGAGGGCGCTTGTGTTCTACCCTTTTGCTCCCCCTCTTCCCAAAGAGGAGCATTACCTCCTCATCTTTCCCACTCCTTTTCCAGGGCTGCAGTGCCTGCCCCCACCAGACATTGCTAGTGGGGAGCACAGCAGCCATTCCTCGGACACCTTTGCCATGGGAGCACTCGTGCACTACAGCTGCAAGCCTGGCTTCTTCCTTGTTGGGAATGAGTCTATCCGTTGTACGGCACACGGAACCTGGAGCCGTCCTCTACCTCGCTGCGAAGGTGTGTCCATGCTCTTACTAATTCTCCTTGACTTTCTAAGCATGTTAAGTATGCAGTAATATTTGGCTGAGGGCCATCCCAGAGAAGCTGTTGCTTTAACAGACTCCACCCTTGCAGAAGGAGAGAAAACTGTGACCGAGCATCCTTCTTGTGACCTTGTTGTTCACCATCTAACAGGTTCTTTATACTCTTACTGTCCCCAGTCGGCTGTGCAAACCCAGCAATTGAGAATGAAGAAGTAATTGGATTTGAGTCTCTCTATAGACCTGGAGACATCATTAGGATCGAATGCAAAAGTGACAGGGGCCCCAAAGGCCTTCGTGAGTCCCAGTGCCAGGCTGGAGGTACCTGGGATCCACCGCTCCCCATGTGTGAAAGAAGTAAGCAGGCACGATCTCAGATGACTATCCTTTCTTAGATGACTATCCTTTCTAGACTTATCACTCATGGCAATGTGCAGCAGGATGCAGAGGAGATCAGAGAAATCCTCAGCCTAGTGTTTCTCTCAGAAGAGAAAGGGAAAGCAGTTACCAGCTTATCAGGCCAGCCTCGTTTCTTTCTCCCTGCTCTTATCTCTGCAGTATTTGGTGTCTCAGTTTCTCAGAATTAAATTCTTGGAAATAAGCTTAGGCCAGCTCCCCCAGCTATAAGAAACCTGCATGGGTGTTGTATGAAGATGGTCTCACAAGTGTGGAATTCATATTATAAATACAGGCAATCTCCTCTCGTGTTTTATGCACCACGAACGATGGTGCTGGGCAACGTGTCACTGTGTAAGAAGAAATGTGACTGATCCCACACACATTACAGCTGCTTGTGCTGAAATCAGCACATCAGCTTGGGAAGATACTAGACAGGAGGAAAGGAGGCTACAAACACAGAGTGCTGTTGCTCTTCTCTGGAACCCCCCAGGATCCTAATGCCAGTGCTGTCTTGTCTGTCTCCCCCAACTTTTCAGTTGTCAGGTGCCTCCATCCTCCAAACATCACAAACGGGAAGCTCATAGGCCACATCTCTGACACTTTTCCCTATGGAGCATCCGTGTCCTACAGCTGTGATCCTGGTTATTCACTCATTGGGAATGCTTCCATTAACTGCACGGCGTTGGGAACTTGGGACCAGCCTCTTCCTCGCTGTGAAGGTCTGTTCGTGCTCTGCTTGTTTGTGCTGTGTTGTACTTGGGTGGCAGCCACAGCCATGCATTTTTCTTCAGGGAATGAAATTCCTAAGGAGATGCACGGGCAAAAATCCATGTACTAAAAAACATGACCACTTACTAACACTGAATTCTAGCCCTTTATTCTGCTGGAGAAGCATTTCCATTTCATAGCTAGATAATGTTAACCTGCTGATTATGAACTTATCCACTGATATCCTTGTGAGGAGTATGATATTGTACAGGAGGAGGATGGGGATCTCAAAATAACAAGTCAAAAGGCTATGAGTACAGCAGGAGGCAATTCTGGAAGGCGGGTTTAATTCTCGGTTATGTTTGCATTTCTGCTCTTGTTGCTATGAACAAACCGTATAGTGTTTCCTCCAAGTAAGTCAACCCTTTAAGAGCTTTTCTTTAAGAATAAGAACTTCTTCCCTTCCCTTTGCTTCTTTTGCATCTCTCCCCAAGTATGACTAACAGAAGGCAGTGATTACATATGAGGTTTTTTCTTAGTGAATTGACTGTAAACTGGACGTGAGCCCATTTCCTTACTGGAAAAGATGCTTTTGTCCTCTGTGACTTGGCACTTCCGCATAGCTCATTGTGAAGGTCGGTCCTGAGGCACATTTGACCACAGGCAATCTCATGAATGCAAGAAGATTCCTAGCATGGGTGTTCCTGCACTAAAAACTGGATTATTTGTTGGAATAAATTCATTGCCAGAATATGTCATTTCCTTTGGTAGAGCTGCAGCCACCCACCTCAGTGACTCAGGAACTGAAACACACCTGGACAACAATAAGAGGAAATAACACATGAAATGTTTATATAAATGAAGTCAGAGGCTCTTTATTTTAAGTGGTCTCACAGAAAAAAAAAAGTTCTTCCTGTCATGCTACATTCTCATAGTTTAGAAGTGTCCTTAGCAACTGTAACGTGTGATGGTTTTCAGAACATTAGGTACAGTGTAAAACAAAACAGTGTAGAAATTGCATCCTGATGTTACCCCTTTGGTTTCCACTGAGAATATTCTCCAGAATTCTTGGATTATCAAATGTGATTAGTTACATAAATGGAAATAACTAGTTCACTTTTCCTGAGATGTGCCTCTCCGGCAGGCTTCTCCCAAGGTACCATTCCCTGTGGCCTCAACACAGCACGCAGTGATAAGAAAAACAGTCAGAAAAACAGCCCACACACTGCAGTAGCCGTTCATCATTCCACATTCACTTCTGCAGCCTCAAGGAAGCAAAATACACTTTGGAATAGGAACTATTTTCATGTTACTTTCAGAAACAATTCAAGAAAGGCCTGAAAGACCTGCAATTGTATACCTCATATCTTATATTCTCTCCCATTAAACACCTGTGTTCTGTTTTATTTAATTTCAGAGATCAGATGTGCATTCCCAGAAGTTCCAGGCATTAAGAAATCCATGACGGGAAATACCTATCAACTGGGGACGAACATCACTCTTGAATGTGATGACGGTTACACTTCAGGAGGCATCATCCAGACTCAGTGTCAGGAGGACCTCAGCTGGGACCCTCCTGTCCCAGCCTGTAAACTAGGTGAGAGAAATGCAAATGTGCAGTTCAGGCAAGTTCATCGATTCAGCTTCTCTACTTTCCTTAAAGACTTGCAATGATTAGCTACAGACAAAAGGCAAATGGGAGGAGGCACAAATTCCATTTCTGTTGCTTACATCAGTCACAGAGGTGTCTTGACTATTACAATTTGATGCAGTTCAACTAATATATATAAGGCAGAAATATTTATTTGCCCTCTGGAGAAAACTCACCAGTCACTGTTTAGCTTAATAAGGATAATTAATCAGCTACAGCTGTTAACAGATATCCTGTATTCCAGGCTTTGGCAGTAAAAGCCTAAGATTAAGCTTAATAAAGTGGTTAACTAGTTGATAACTGTGTTATTTCATATTAAAATGGCTCATGGATTTTCTCTTCCCTTTAGCTTCACAGAAGTCTAGCTCAGTTGGCCTAGGTAAGTAGCTTGGAAACCTTTTTGTTGGCCACATCTTTAGCTTTAGTGGCCTCTGCGCTGCTCTTTCCCTCTGCTTCCTAGAGGAGAAGAGCTGGCTATTTCAGGTGAGGTGAAAACACTAATAGTGGATGTTGTTGTTCTCTCTCAGGCATTACAGCTGCAGTAGTTCTGCTTTTCCTGGGCGTGGGCATTATCTGGAAAATTATTTCAAAGCAGAAGCAAGGGTAAGGCAGCTCTGCACATTGTTTTCCTTCGCTGTCGACTCCCAACACTTAAATGAATTATTTGTGCCTCCATCTTGTACATCTTTAAATTCAACGTACAAACTGCACAAGGCTCGACAACCAGTTATCAACTGTGGTCATGTTGTTTCACTTCCCAAGAAAACGAATATTAGAGTCCTTTTACAAACAAGCCTAGCCTACTGTTTTCATTGTTTCTCTATCTCCTAGCTATTATCATACATATGAAAACTACGGGTGCCGTACCCCTGCGGACCATGTAACTGAACAGAAACCCCTGTGTGTTCCCTAGCAGGTATGGATTTATACTCCTCAATAGAAAATGTCAGTTATAGCTGCATAGCTGTGTTGTTCTAATATAGTTTTTCAAGTAGAATTAAATTATTCGAGTTTAACTGGCAAGTGAATCTACTTTCTACCTGGTGTGTGCACTGCAGAGAAGCTTCGCTGTTACCAGCACGCTGAACGTAACCACCTTTGACCACAGAAAGTCATATGTAAACATTAGTTCTTTTCTCCCTTTTATTTGTAAAGATTGTTTGGAAAAAAAGTTGTTGCCACTGAAGCAGAAACTGTTCTCTCCACACTTTCTGAGCATGAATGATAATTTCTAGACATTAATGCAAAACAAAGGAAGTTCAGTTTGCTTTTAACACTTGCATGTCTTTTTGCTTTTTTTCTAGGTAGGAGGCTGCTGGTTGCAGTAGCCTGCCCAGACTCCTCCATGTAAAAGACACCGGCTGCTGGACGGCTTTGGTCCCTTTCTTTGAGACTGAAATTCTGCAGCAAAAAAAAAAAAGGCACTTTACTACAGGACTGAAATTGCTTCTGTTTCTATTAATTGCACCACTGCGAGGGCTTATCCAAGCTCCAATGGTGCACAGCATAAATGCTCTTTTAGAGACGTCTGTCCACACTCCTGCTGTGTGATGAAGAACGTTTCCTTTATTTTCAAACTCCTGCGATGAGACAGATGCACAGAAACATCGTGTCTTGGCAGGGAAGGAAGAATTCATTAACCAAGCAAGAGATTCTTACAGTTTTGCCTGGAAATTGTTAAGATAATCCCGTAGGTTTTCTACAACTGGTTGGTGAATGTGAATAATGTCTGTAAAAGTGAGTTCTTGTTCCATGCAGTCATTACAAGCCAGCTACTCCCAAGAACAAGGGCTGTGGGTTATCTTCTCCTCCTCATTTCCCTTAGAGACGTTTCAGGACGCCAGTTTAACTCCAACGCCGCCTGCTCTGGCGTGGTACCAAACTCGGGCAGTGTCCCTGTGCTGCCACCCCTTCCCTCCCTCCTTCAGCAACACGCACTTCTAGGCCATTTAACCCAATAAAAGCAGAACTTGACGCAGTGCTTCGGGTCGTTTGGATCGCTGGAGCTCCCGGGGGTTATTTTAACGCCGCCCGGTGCGGGGAACGCGGGCTTTTAAGGCGGGGAAGCGGCTTTGAGGATGGAGGTTCCCGCCCCGGGCGGCGGCCGAGGCTGAGGAAATGGCGGCCCGGGCGGCGCGGCGGGAAGCGGGAAGCGGGCGGCGCCTGCGCGGTGAGGCTCGTGGGGCCGCGCGCGGCCGGCGCCTCCGCCGCCATCTCCGCCGCGGCAGCCATGGGGCGGCCGCGGGGCTGCGGGCCGGCGCTCGCTGCGGTGCTGCTGCTGCTGCTGCTGCTGCTGTGGTGGCCGGAGCCCACGGCGGCCGCGGGTGAGCCGGGGAAAAGCCTGTGCGGGGCGGAGGCGCAGCCCGGGGGCTCCTTGTGCCCCGCTCCGGTCGCTGTTTGAAGCGGCCCCGTGCTCGCTGAGGCCGGGCGCGGCCCGCGGCGCTTGGGAAGCGGCCCCGGGGGTGCTCGGGGCTTGGGGGGGAATCGGGGGTTGTTTTATGGTCGGGATCAAGGGGGGAAGGAGGCGCCCTGGCCGCGCGGGGGGACCTTGAGGAAACGCTGGAGCTCGCCTTTGGGTGCAAGTAAAAACAGACTAAAAATGAAATAAAAAACCCGTGTAGCTAAAAACCTCGTGTAGGCTGCATTAGAATTGCCCGTCGCATGTGGGTAAAACAGACTAGAGGTATATAGTCATATAAATATATGTAGTATGTGTGTGTATACATGTATGAGTAACCTGTGTTAGAGGTGGCAATTGGTTGTAATTAAGGTAGACATATAGTGTATGTATATATGTATATCACCTCTACATGTGTTTTGTGTGTGTATACGTGTATAACATGTGATAGTGCTGTCTGTTAACATGCCTTTTTTGACATGTTGATGCATCCTTGGTCCTGAAAGTTTTAACTCGGTTTTCACATGCTGTTGCCTTCAACATGTGTGTCCTCTTGTTGATAAAGTTCCCTATCGCTTCCTCCGCCCTCTTATCCCTACAGGAGAATGCACCTCTCTGAAGAGACTTCACTACGCAGAGCCCAAGGAAAGCTACCAAAAGATGCAGAGTTTTCCGTCTGGGACCACCGTGTCCTATGTGTGCCGCCCGGGATACAGGAGGATCCCTGGGAAGTCCTTAGCTGTTACTTGTATGGACTCGCAGTGGCTGGAACCAGAGCCCTTCTGCACAGGTACTGCCTGCTTGTGGCTCTTCTCCTGCCTCCTCTCTGGCAATTTCAATTATTTCTGTCCAGGAAATAATGTTTTCTACTAACTTATATGAAAAAAGAACCTTAATTGTTGCTGTAATTTTTCTGTAGTCATCACTGGAAAAATCATGGAGGTTTCTGTTGAGTGTTCGTTTAAATGCTGGCAGACAGTTCTTCCAAATAGAAGTCCCCTGTGCTAAATTTGTGATTTGAAGACAGACTTTAAGGGTAGTTGATGCCAAAGACTTACTCTTTGTTATATAACTGCAGAAAAAGTAAGGTTCTTTTTTTCTTTTTTTTTTTCTATTCCACAGAAAAAAGTTGTAGTCGGCCAGAGGACTTAGAACATGGCTCGGCTCATATAGAGGATCTTAAATTTGGTTCAAGTATTACTTTTTCATGTGAAGAAGGGTAAGGACTTTTTAGAAGTGAATGAGTATTCTTTTTGTTTAGACTAGATTGAAGCCAAATCTGAACTTTCTTATGTAGAACCTATTTGCATTCTGACTTGAAATGTCTCCTGAGTTCAAGCTGGAGGAAATTAAACCACAAGAAAACCTGAATTAGTTCCCTAGTTCAGCTTGCTGATAGTATCAACTAAGGCTTAAGCTTTTTCAGTGGAATTTTTCAGAGGGAAACTTCTAGTGTTCTCTCTAATGACTCTTTTTAATGGTCCTATGAAAGAGGAAATGACTGTTATCAACAGTACTTGCTTATGATGTTGAATCACCTGTCCCTGTCCTATAATGAATGAAATCAAAAGTGCTAAGCTTCTGTTAGACTCTATTCCTCTTTGTTTTAACAGCTTATTTGTTTAATACTAGTAACTTTAAAGCATTCCTCATTGGCAGGTACAGACCTTAAAACCACAAGAGCACTTGCCATGTCTTTAATGATTTCTCATTTGCTCTTTTTTTTTTTTCTGCAAAAATATAGTCTTTGAAAATCTTTTCAGAAACCATTCTTATTACAACAACATCAAAAAAGCTATATTGTGCCCCCATTTTGGTACAACAAAATTATATAAACGAAGCTTCCAGCTGCATGGTGGAGTAATGAGTGATCTCCTAAGTTCCACTCCTCTAAAATTTTATGTCTAGGTACCGGTTACGTGGAGCTAGTGAAATTTCCTGTGTAATTAAAGGTGCAGATGTTGGCTGGAGTGAAAATCTTCCTTTCTGTGAACGTGAGTAAATACTACTGTGCTTAAGTATATATTCGGGTGAATATAAACTTACTATACGGTCTATACAAGTGTTTTTAAGAGGAATTTGGTATTGTAAGAGGCAGCTGTGAAGTGGCACCATTGTTTTTTGAGCTGCTAAGATTGTACATCTGAAGAACAACTGCTGATAAACTTCAGTCCTTGTGGTAATTAGTGTGTGTTAGTTAAAGTCAAAGACAGCTTGGAATTGCAACTTTCTATTCTAAGTGTCCACAGTTTACAATTAGTTCTGACTGTAGCTTGTGTTAGAAATGACTTTATACTAGATTTTAAATGAAATTACCTGAAAATCAACGATTGATTTTATTTCCTCCCCTCTGAGGTAAAAGTAAAGTTCTGTCAACTAATTTATTTGATTTATTTCTAGAAATTCCTTGTAAACCACCTCCAAGTATAGCCAATGGGCTGTACGATGAAAGAGAGAGCTACGTTTATCAAACAACAGTCACTTATAGGTGTGTTGATGTGCCAAAAGGCATGGATCGCTTCTCCCTCATTGGCTCAGACTCCATTTTCTGCACACATGATGCAGACAACAATGGAATTTGGAGTGGACCACCTCCAGAATGTAGAGGTTGCTATTGTGTTCATATATATGTTTTCTCTTTCGTAACTACGTGGTTAAAACTTGAATGTCCCTTTCCTGAAGATAGAGGTGGGTGGGTGAGTGAGAAATGGAAAAGAAGGAAGAGCTCCTCTGCTGCTGTTAATTGATGCAACTCCACTGGTAATTAGATCAGCTGCATGAGGCATGTGAATTGATTGTTTCACACAGTGTGAATGACAGAAGTTAAAACTCGAATTGTAAGCATGCAGTTGATAGAAATGGCAAGAACAGAGTGAAAGAACTGTAAGACTGTAAAGCCTTGAGCAGTCGAATTAAAACTGAAAGAGCAAGAAAGTGAGAGTTCGGTTATGGATAGTGAAAAGAGAAGGAAGAACTCTTCTTCTCAGCAAAGACTGAAAAATATAAAGCCTGTGCTTTGCAGATGAAAATTTAACTTTTTTTATAAAGCCCCTCCAAAATTGTTTGATTAGTTTAAAAAAAAAATCCCTTACAATGAGTTTAGAGTATACAATATCTAAGATAATGATGCTGTTAACAAATGTTTCAAAGCTGTGTTTTTTTCCTACGTGTTTCAGTGGTTAAATGTGATAACCTGCAAGTTCAACATGGAAAAAAAATTACTGGGTTTGGGCCTTCCTACAGTTACAAGGACTCCATTACATTTGAGTGTGATCCAGGCTATTCTATGAAGGGAAGTCAGACGATTAGCTGCCTGGAAAATAGCACCTGGCACCCCCCAAAGCCGACTTGTGTAAAAAGTAAGTCTTTAAATAGGAAATTGACCTCTTGTATGTGAAGAATGCTGCTAAAATTTCAAATTATGATTTGAAATCTGAAGCAAAGGTTGTTGATGCAGAGTGTCACCTGCAAACAACTCTTCTGAGTGTTATGATGACTCTTCCTACTGTGATTTTACCGGTGAGATTGAATGCAGTTCCAGATATGCACATTGTGGTGTGCAGGGCACGCTGCAGTTAGTGTCGTGCTGTTTGTTCTAGTCATGTCATACAGAAATGCAAGACAAAATGAGTTGCTGATTTTGATAGAAAGGACTAAGATTATGCACACTGCGGAGAAATCTGTAGTATCCTCTCAGAGTGATGTAAATTATTAGTTATGTATTATTTCTCTCTTAACCACGTCTTGAAGCGATGTTTTCTCATAAAAAGGCTGAATGACTTAAACTTTAATGTTTTGTAACACATTATTATCCCTTTATTTATCCCTTTATTTATCCACATTATTAGATATGTGTGCTGCCCCAGAGATCACAGATGGCGAACTAATTCCATTGAAAACTCAATATAGCAAGGGAGAGTCTGTTCGGATAAAATGCAATGCTCAGTGCACTCTTCCTGATGGTGCTGGAGAGATGACAGTAACATGTGAAGGAGGTGAAACGTGGAGTTCCTTGCAAAACTGCACATGTGAGTAAAAAGTAATTCCGGGAAGATGAGGTGTCTCCAAGTTAGAGCCTGTGAGCATACCTAGATAGGAAGAATCAGCTTGTAACAGGCTGCAAGTGTTTTGGATAGGATTTGAGTAATGAGAGCGGGTTTGGGGGATACTTGTCCCCTCTTGTCTTAGGTTTAAGAAAGGTGGTAAAACTTGATGGGCAGCATGAAATGCTGTGCAGAGAGTGTTGTCAAGAGTCTTCCTCTGACAGCGATAGTCCTGGTAGCAACCCTTGTGTGCACCACATGAGCACTGACTGCTTGCAGCATAACAACAAGACTATCGTTACTTTGCTGTTTGTTGTAAGGAAGTTGAGACATATTTCTGTTAATGTGTGAAACCTGTCCATCAACAGAAGTATTTGCAGCCTCTAGGAAGCAGGAAACCTTTTGATATAGTCTTCAAGATTGACTAAGCTGCTGATACTTGCACAAGCATGGGGATTTTTTTTTAATGACAACCTCTTGAATCTGTTTCATGCGTCAGCTCCATGTTTGGACTTCACTCTTCTTTCTTTTCCAGGTAGGGTTGTAGATCCCAATCCACACATCAGTCATGGTAGGATAATTGCTGGATTAAAATCTTCGTATTCTGTAGGAGATGTTATTACAATTGAATGTTATGCAGGCTATACGTTACATGGTGAAGCTAATATTCAGTATTCTGGAGAAAACAGGTGGACGCCTGAGGTCCCCACTTGCCACTTAAGTAAGTATGAACTGCAAAAATTTCCATTGGCATTAAAAATGTATATAATGGGTGGTTTGTTTATTGGGGACTTTTTTTGTATTTAGGAGAAGTAATTTAATGCAATTTTCTCTATTTTGACTTGAGGAAAAAGATTTTGGTAAACTCCATTTAAGAACAGGAATATTGTAAACTCTAACAGATGATGTGATATAAACTGGGCTATGTTGGCGAAAGGGCTTGACCTATTTGAAATAGCCTTGAGCATATATTTATGTATGTTTGAATGAGAAGCACATTCCGCTTGTGATACTGATTTACTCTGTTTTTAGGTGTGTATATTATCGTCATCATCTGTGGTAAGTATCTTATGAACACTGAGCAAGATCATGCTTTTTTTTCTGTGTGGAATTGATGTCTGGTTTTGGCCATCGCCTGTAACTACAGTAATGTAACAAGATTTTGGAGTTTGGAACTTTTTAAAGATGCTCATGTACTTCTAAAACTGTGCAGTTTGAGAAAAGTTACATTGATTAGCAATTATCAGTACTTGTAAAATTATTATGCTGTTCAGAGCAGGAGGTCTAATTCCATACTTCCTACACCTAAAATGTGGAGAGTGCTCTGCGTTAACTGAAATTCTCGCTAGATGAATAACTGGACATACCCAACAAGCTGCTTCCTCCATCTTCTGTGTATTTGTTCCCCTTTTTTTAAAGAAGACTTTTATGAATGTGCTTCTCTACCTCCATCTCCTTTATAAACACATGAATATTAGAATTTGATCACTGTTTTAATATTTTTAAGTTGGTTGAATTTGGTAAAGTCTTGATGCTTTACCAAAGACTCTTCAAAATGTTTGGGGATATGTGTGAAATAAGCCATTGTGTGTTTTGGCTGGAAGGGGAGGGTGCTGAGTAGGAGAGTGAAGATACTGCTTTTTTTGCTAGCTTCTGAGGGTATTTTTTGTGAGATACAATCATTGCCTTTTTCATTCTAAGCCTTTTAAATTTTTTTTCCTGAAGTAATTGTGGCAATTGTCGTGTCGCTGGCAGCCTTCTGGGTCTATAAGATGCTGTTCTCGCAGAAAGGGTGAGTAAACCCCTTTTTGTTTAGTTTAGTTTTCTTTGTTTTTCTGCCAATTTGTGTGACTGTGCAAGAGCCAACAAGTGTGTAAGTTTTTCAAGCCTTACTTGCCTTTTCTGCTTAAATTGCTCTGCAATAATATGTAAGCTTATTACAGCAGCTGATGGAAAGCTAAGTGCTTAACTTTATGTTTGGCTTTATTTTTTGTATCCATTGTTCGGGTAAACTACTAATTAATGCTTGTGCCAGTTGCAAGGAAAATAACGTCCTTCGTGCTTACGCTTGACGTAGGGCTGCTTAACTGTGGAAGGAATGTGTGTTTGCTCGAAAATGTGCCAGTTCCCATCTTAGAAGCAGTGTAGTGTTGGCTTGTGCGAGCTTCAGCTGTTTGTTCATTTTTTGTTTTTTGGCCTGAATTGTTTCTGGAATTGCTTAGGAAAAGTCTCCATACGTTTTAAGAGGCAGAGTGGTGATGTAAAGAAATGGGAAGTGTTAGGAGTGAAGTCTCCTCTCTTCTATGTAAGATGAACTGGGCCGGTGGATGGGGTGATTGAAGAACTGGTGTGTTCATCTTTTCTGCCAAAAGGAACTTGCGTAAAATCATATGGGTTTATTAAAAGAAAAAGGCCCTGTAAGCAGCATGTCCCAGGCTATATACTTCTGTGCTGCTGCATTTGCTTTTAATCTGTAGCTTGGGTTAGCTGCAACCCCGGCGGCCAGAGAATCAGTATGGGGAATTGACTGTAGTGCCAGGCACTTCCTGCCTTCATGAGGGGAGAGAGCTCTCAGGGTGCAGAGAGGAGGCGAGGTGTGACCCAGCAGTGCTAAAAATTATCCCGTGTCATATTCCTATGTCATATTCCATAAAACCTCACTGTAGGAAAAGTCTTGCTGCGCTCAGTGCTTTCCATAAGCTTCCCTGCTAGGAATATCTGGGAATAGATTGGGCTTTCAGACAAGGAAAATAGCTTAATCTGCTTTTACTGAGGCCTAAATCTCACCATTAATTGCTGTTGGATTCCTGAATTACCTGAGCCTTTACAGCCGTTGTGCTGGTGCTGGCTGGGTTGTAGTTTTCACATTACAGCAAAAGTCTTTCTTTGCCCGCTCTTTTCTTTTGTGTTTACCATTTTTATAGAATATTCAATTAGATCTTTTTCCCCCTTCTGCTGTTCAGCTCGTATACAGTTGATGAATTTTGCAAGGAAACATGTATTTTAAAAACTAATGTTGCATCTGAGACGGAAGACTGCACAAATGAATTAATTGAATCTTAAAAAGGTATATGCATTCCACTTGATTTGGACATTTGCAATGATGTTTAAGTGTCTGTTTTTGTAGTATACTCTGAATTTCAGGGAAAGTGTGGAATCTTAACTAGCTGTGAACAGCAGTTCCCTGTGGAAAAGGTTATAATAAGTATGCCTCTTTTTCTATGGATGGTTATTCTAGGGGAATAGTGGATGTTACCCTTACACAAAGAATTGTCATTTGGTGCCTTAAATTACAGTTTTGAGTTGCCTTTAAGGAATGAGTAACTGATTCATTCTTAACTCTCTAAGAAAAATAAATGCAAGATGCAAACAAGGTCTCTGAAACCTTGGTATAAAAAGCTGATTTATTTTTCAAATTTGGAGTTCCGTAGCCCTAAAAAGAGCCAAAATACAGTTGCTTGTCTGGAGTTATTTTCCTGTTCTGTATTTAACCTGGAATGTTGAATCCAGTAGTCAGGTGCATTTGATGGCAGTTACGATTTCTCCTGCACTTCTGTAGAGTCCAAATTAGCTTTTTCAAAAACTCTTTTCTAACCTGGTGACAGCAGCACAGATGTATGTGCCTTGTATTGTGTTACAACAGTGTAGGTGCTATTGTGTTAGATTTTTTTTTTTCCATTACTGCCTTAATGGTCTGAGTTTGTGCTGTAGTTGTAATATCTTTGCGTTGCCTTTTGCCATTCCCCAAATTGTGAGAAGGTAATTATTGATACGTTAGGTCTCTTACCCTGAATTAATGCAAAGGTCTTTAAATGTGTAGTCTTTCTTTTTTTATTACTTTAAAATGAATTGACCTTTCTGTATCATTCCTAAGTTTAAGATGGCATAAAAAACGGACATACCTCCCACCCATATTTCAGAAGAATTGAGTAATTCAAGGATTTGCAAAGATATGGTTTACGTAGTCCTGGATATAACTAAAACCTTGAATCCTCCTTTGTTTAAATATTGTAAATTCAGTCTTAATGGACTTACAGCATCAAAAGTCTCCTGAACTAATAGCTAGTATTCAGCCTATGATACAGTGCAGCTGAGTCAGGAGACCTGTGCCTGTCTGGTGTGTGCTCCGTTTCTGGTAGTACCATGGCACGGGTTGTCCATCACTTGAAATGCTCCTTTGGGATCAGATGCTGTCCTGGGCCCTGGGTCTCGCTTTTTAGCAATCTAGCGATCCAACTGAAACCGGTCTCATGAGCCTGGTAGTTGCTTGCCACGCTGAGGATGAACGATGGGGTTTCATGACCTTATCTGCTGGCTTAATGATAAAGCTGAGGATGTGCTTTTAGAGTAAATGTAAAAAGTATTTAAATGTAAAATCTCTGATTTGACTTGTTTTTTTGTTTGTAGGAAACGTGACAGCACTCCATGTACTGCCAAATATACGAGCTGTACAGCATGAATGGCCTTTCCTGGGGGTGGGAGGGAATTTGAAGTTAAATATGCCTGTCAGAAATGAAGTGATTGTACTCGCGTTGAGCTTCTACAGGGAAATACCTTGTACCTCTGGCCTTGAAACCATTGTTACAATATGTTCTATAGTAGGAGATTGTTATTAGGAAAAAGTCAGAATCTGTATCTATGCTTTTCTTTATGGAGCATTCCCCTTTTCTATGTGTGAAATTGCCTTTGAAAAGACACTTACTGTAGCGTGCAGGCCTTGTTGTGCATTGGCACCGCTGTCGTAGCCCGGCTGCTGCCGCCTCCTGCCTTCACTCTTGCCTCTTTCCTTGCAGAAGACTGTTAGCTCTGCTCGTTAAAATCTTAATGTGCTTCTAGCTTGCACTTGAGACGATGTAAATGATGATGTGTGTTGTGTTCATGTTTTAATTATTTATTTGCTTAAAAGATAGGTGCCTTTTAAGGCCCCTTTATTCCAAATTTCTCAGTATAGCTCTCGATGCACTACCTCTTTGTCTGCCAAAGTTTGCTTCTTTTTATCTCATGAATTAAATGGTGCCTTTGAATCAGACTTCTGTAGTATATGTATTTCTGGCCCTCTGGATTGATTCCAGGAAGGCTCCAGTGGAGCTGCTGGAATAGAAAAGGGAAGGCTTCAGTTTGGCCCCTGCCTTCAAATTTGGTGGGTTCTTGATGGAAGAACGTGCTGAGAAACCCAGGGAGCCGCCTTTTGTTGGGAGCAAAATGCCATTTGGTAGGATGCAGGCTTCACTTTTCCTTAGCATCGCTGGCACATTCAGAGGTAATTATGTTGCTTCTTAGGGTAGGAGGGTTACTGTATGTAGCTAGCTTCCTTGCCTCTTCTTTTTTTTTCTCTTCCCTTTAAAATCATATATTACACAGAATATTCACACAGAATATTTCAGATCTCTGTATATGCCCTATTGTGCCAAGTGTAAATCTGTAGTGCCGGGTAATATAGATGTCCATGGAGAAACGTGAACCTTCCCCTGTCTGACTTCCAGCTTTTTGTCTTGAAGGAAGCTGAGCCAGCCTAGTTGCAAGAGGGAAGGGTGGGTATCCCGTGAGTGGGAATGTCACTCTTTAGATGGCTTAGGAAACGGTTTTGTCAGATGGCAACTCCAGGAGCTCCCATCGCAGAAATAACACTGGATTAACTCGGACTTGCACTGATAGCTGTTTCTTTAAATGCATGCGTGTAATTTCTGATATAACTCAAAACTGAATTAGAACAGTTTTTGGCTTAGTGAATTCCTGAGTTTGTAATCAAAGAACACACATGCACCTTGCAAGAAACACATTTTTTTCAGGAAAAAAAGACCAAATTCCCTCACTTCAGATGGCTGAGGCGGCATTAAAACTGTTCTTGCTTGTCTGTGGTAGATTAGCTCTTGTTCTCACTGTTGTGAGCAGATTGTTCTACGATGTAAGACTATTTGGGGTTTTATAGGGCTCTTTGGGACAATCCCAGCAGTTGTATTGTTAGAGTTCATAATGGCCTCTGGGTATGAAAGAGGATTTTGGCAAAACAGAGCGACTTGTTGTTTAGTGCCTTTTCAGTGGCTGATGTATAGTTTGATAATGATTTGTTGTTTGTAAATACTGCGATAATATATTGGACCTGCACGTGTTGCACATTAGCTAGCTTGATTGTGTATGGCATCTTCAACTGTGTGAAGACATGCTGAAATGCACTTAATGCGCAAGTGAGAAGACTTTGTAAAAGTTTGGTTTATTTTTCTGTTTCTGCTGTAAAGCCTAGCAACAATTTGTAATATTACAAATAAAAATGCTAACTTATTTAGTAGTAAGTGTTTGTCTCTTATTTGTCGTGTGGTAAAGAGCTGTACTCCGTTGTTCTTGAAGGTGTGCGTTTGTGACTGTGCCCACATCAAACTCGTGCTAGATGGTCACTGTTAAGATCAAAGTTTTAACTTTGTGCCCAAAACTATTTGATGAGAACTTGCATGCATAGTGTAGAAAACGTGGCTGTATTTGCTGAGCAGCCTCTTATCTTTGGCTTTCTTTTGGAAAAAGAGATGGTTTTCCAGAGTTTCCAAATGCTGACGATATTCACACCTGAAAAATTTTATAAAAACGTAATGGAAAAGAGTGTGCCAGCATTGATCAAGAGCAATGGGGACTGGTCCCTAGCCCATCTGGCACCTTTGTCTATTGTGACAGACTTAATTCTCTTTTTTAAGTAAATATAAATGGAATGTGCTCTGTTTGTTTATTTATGTGTTTATTGTGCCAAGTTTCATAATCTACTTTGGTTTCTTTGCAAAGAAATAGGTGGCATCAGCGCTCTCAATAGGATGTAGCCTTTGAGAGGATGGAATAGGAAAAGAACTTAATATGCATTTTTTAATTCATGGTTGTGATTCCCAAATTAGCAGGTATTGATTGCAAAAGGTGGTAGTATGTAGATTATATACCTTTGGAAAATGCTAAGTCTCATGGGGTTGCAGTGAGCATGTGATACAGGGCTGGGCTGCTCCTAGGTAGTTTGACTTAGACACTGCAAATTAATTTGTCCTAATTGTAATGTATGCTGTGCCATTTTTCTAAAACCAAGTCCCACGTGAATTACTTCATTTTAGAATCTGGAGCTGGTGATACTGACTCATGTTGCACAACAAACACATGTACTTGGTGCTTATAAAAAGCCTCTATTGATGCCATCTACTGGTAAAACTGCCTGTTCTCACCGTGCAAGTAAAGGAGCTTGGGAACAGTGTTGAACAACAGTGCTTAGAACAAATGCATGCATTTCCATCTTAATTTAAAAGTAGTGTAACATCTATTAAGTAGTGGGACGGTTCAGTGTTGGGTAGGCTCAGTGCGGCACATGCATCCGTGTCATGCTCGCTCTCGAGTGTGCTTGGGCTAGGACGGTGGAAATGGAGCTGGGACTGAAATGAAGATACTTGCAGCATCTAGATACTGTCCAGCAGGGAAGCGTGTTATCTGTCTACCTGAGACAGAGGCCAGTACCAAGGAGCACACAATTTTATTTCAAGGAAAAGAAATCTGCGTAAATAACAGGTTAAATGCAAACAAATAGCACATGGATATAATTGGTCAGAAAGAGAAGTGGCCGTGTTCAAGCATGTGCCCTGGCGTGCTTGACTTGCAGAATCTTAGTTACGTGTTTGAACAGATGCTTCGATTCACTTCAAGCATCCGTCCTAGCTGAACTGGCTGCCGGGTGTCCTCCTTTTACGCAGGATGTTCAGCCTTGGTGCAGCTCGAGGTCAGGGACAGAGGTCGGCGGAGCTGTCTGTGGAGCCAGGGTGCACTTTGGTCTTTATCTATAAGGACTTTAGGGAAGGGGGGAATGAAGTTTTCCATTACTGTTGCTTTTCCCCCTACATCATAACCGATTTCAAATGGTGCTAGACAAAAACTGAGACTCTGAACACCAAGAGAAATCGGTCAGCCTGTGTAAGAGACATTTTTCTGGCTCAGAGAAGAATCCTCTCGTAGGTGGCAGCTACGCCTTCTTCAAAGAAGACTGTCCTTCTCGGTGGTCTCATCAAATGCTTCATCCATGCAGCAATCCTCCTTTCTGTGCATGTCACCAGTCTGACCAGTACGCAAAGAGCTGACTTCATCTAGTGCTTTGTGCTCAAGGGTAGGAGGTTACTGAAACACTGCTGGAAATCACCAGCAACGAACGTGCAAAAACCAGGTGGTTTCCCTGTGCATCAGCACGACTTGGTCCCGCTCCCTGAGGGCGCTTGCGCTGGTTACCTGCCCAGGTCAAGTTGTTGGCGGATTGCAGCGTTTGCAAAACAGGCCTAGGGGTGATAATTGTGTGGCAGCAAAATCCCGAGGCACAGAGGGGAAATGCATTTGATTAAGTTAGTAAATTAAATATTGGGACCCTCCTGCCTATAGAACAAGGGAAATATCCTCCGTGTAAATGTTGCCAGCAAAGATACAATAAGGACTATGTTGATTTTTGTCATGCAACTTTTGGATCACTTCACTTTACTCTGGACAACTTTAACTCAGTATCCATTGTTTATTAAGTAGCAGTACATTTGATGGAAGTGTCTCCTGATGTGGCCCTAGCTAGAGAGGGTGTTTACAGTGATTTTATAGTGTCTAGAAACCAGAGATGTTACAAAGCAGATAGTTGGCCAAAAATTAACCACTGGAGAAGTGCTATTTTAAGGAGCGGAGGCCTTCGGTGTGGTTAGCAGCTGCTTGATCTCTTCCCACGCTGTAATTCTTGCTCCTAGAACACTGATTTCAAATGGTGCTAGATACAAAGTGGGAAAATCTAAGCCACCATGTGAAACCAGCTTCCAGAGGAAGACACATCTTGTGCAAGGCTGCAGGCTGTGAGAGAAAATCCTTCGTATCCACCATACCTGGAGAAAAATCAATTTATTTAATTTCATTAGAGAGACAGTGAGCTTTGGGCGCCTATTCTGGTGACACAGGTTTCCCGGCACCGCGCACATAGCTGAAGCTGATGGAGAAATGAGATCCGTGATGATGAAAGCGACCGCTTGGACAATGGCTCTAATTTCCTTTCTTAGCCAGGGGCAGTACAGGAGCTGTTCCCAGCAAGCACTGAAAACGTCTAACTCTTTGTGGTGCACATTATGCAACTGCAGTAATAAATAAGGTTGCTGTGTACCCTGAGCATCTTCTCTGCCATTGCAGATGCAGCCAGTCCTCGGTCTGTGTAAAGTGAAGCCCTGGCTTTTCTGTGTTGCCATCACTGGCTGATCTTGGTGTCATCTGAAAGGGCAACAGGCCACGAGAAGTCGGATGCTTTTTTCTTTTTTTTGTGAAAGGTAAAGGATGACACTAATAATGGAACTTCCTTTGTCAGCTCTATCTCACTGCTTATAAAAGGCCTGCCCTTAATCAGAGAGGAAATGCAGATCTGTGTGAGAGAATTGTTTGAGGTCCTGTAAGCACAAAATGGCTTTTAATGAAAACAAGTTACACAGAAACTACTTGGACTTGTGAGCTGAACTGAAACCTAAAAAGGGAGCATTTGCAAAACTGTAAATGGTTCAGCAGAGGTTGCCTAGGTGGTAGGAGAATCTGAAAATAACCGGCTGACATTTATGGGATTGAAATAGGTCTGAGCAGCGCAGCGCCGTGGCGCAGCGTTTCCGCGGAGGGAACCCGCAGCGAACGCGGCTTGCTCCGTGGGAATAGGTGGGGTGTCCTGAGGTCTGTGAGAGATGGAATATGGGGTCTCTCCAGCCCTGGCTGCTGTGTTTAATCCGTGCTGCTGGAGTGAGATGGAATAAAGTCAGGCGGAAGCAGGCATGGAGTTTTGCTTACTGATTCCCTGAGTTTTTAGCAACTCTGCCCACTGGTTTTGTAACTGCATTTAAGGATGTGCTTTGGTGCCTGCATCTTGTAATACACCCCCTTAAACTGCCGAGGGAGACTGGGAGGAAGAGCAGCTCTTTTCCGAAAGAGGAGGGAGTGAGCTGTGCTAGATTGCTATGTCTAGGCAGGTGCTGTAGTTTCTAATTCCATTAACTGGGGCAACAGGGTGAAAGACGAGTGGAAAGCAGGTTTCCTCCCCAGTGTCTGCCTTGCTGGCACAGTTCTCCGAGGCTCTCCGAGCGTCCCTGACAAAGTGGCTCTGGAAACCTTCACGTCCTCCCTTCCCTGAGCCACCCAACCCGTCCCGAGAGGCCAGGCAGCCCTTGAAGACCAGGGGCTCCTTGGCTTGTGGCTCGACAGTTGCCACGAGAGGGAGGATGAACAGAGGGTAGGAGCAGAGCAGCTCACAGCGCTGTGGAAAACAGCGATCAGCTGCTGGCGCAGACACGTGCAGAAATACTAAAACTTGCCCTAAACCCGTGTTCTGCCCAAGCACGTGTTAGGTGTATGCTGAGTGTGTATGCAAGAGGGTGTGCACCTAGGGGCAGAGACATGCAAATACTCTCAGCTCTGGCTGCCTCCTTCAAAATGTTCCAGAGATTTCAAGATACAAGAGGAGGGGAGGGTGTCCATTCTGTGATTCTTTCCTGCTTTTCCAGCACGTTTTAGTAGCCATGCTGCTCTGTACTTTGAGCGCCTCGCATCATTTCACAAACTTCCTACCACTTCTATGCAAGACAAAAAAACCCCATGTAAAAGCTTGTGCTCTGCAGGCACAAGCCTGGATGTCACAGACCTAGCAGGCCTCTTCCTGCAACCTGTGCCTGTTTATATTAAGGCACTTCTTGGGCTTGCACGGTAAGCAGGGGAGACCTCTCTGTGACCTTGTGTGCATCATAAATTCCTTCCTCCATTTCCAACTCCAGGAATGGAATTGAGGGTGCATCAAGTCCTGCTCTCCCTTGGAGGAATTCCTGCCCTTCGATACGCAGAAAATACGAAGCAGAGAGGGCTCCTGCATCCTCCCCACGGTCGAGTGAGTCAGAG